GCTAATAACTTCTTACAGCATTTATTTCACCATATCTTATACAGCTGCAAAAACTACTGTGAAGAACAGCTGGTGAGAAGACAAACTGGGAATAACTCAGGCTAGAATACTCCAGGCTTACCGGTGCGATCATACGTTTTTGCAACAGACTCAAAGTACCCAGGTCGTTAACTCCATGAACGGTCATTGCTTTACATCTATCTTTTGCGCTCACTAGCGTAAATAATCATAAATTTTGCATAAAGAAAACGAACGGTTTCCATCCAACGGTCGTTCTTTGAAAGTAACCTAACTGTTCAGTGAGCGATTTCCCCGCCAGAACTTTTAAGCACATGTGCATGAGAACTAAACATACCTAGAGGATTAGTTCGAAATATTTAATCTATACTTAGACAAAGAATATTTCTCCTAAAATTTCAGCTTTTTAGCTTTTCTAGTTCTCCAGTTAGTGGTTTTTCCGCCAAAACTTTCAAGTGCCTTGTGCATGAGTGCCACACGTACTTGGGAGGAGCTGAATTTGGAACTTTTAGCTTATACATGTACAGAGAATATCCACGCAAAGTTTCAGTTCTCTACCTTGTCTGGTTCCCGAGGTCGCTTTTCCGCCAAAAAATTTGCATACTTTCTTAAGGCGTCATATGTAGCACCCAGGCGTACGCGAATGATGATATTAAAACAGAGGTGGAAGGGGGGGGGGTGGTCGCACATGGTGTGGGCACATACTCCCGAAGTTTCAGCCTTCTAGCTTTTCTGGTTTTCGGGTTGAAAGTTGATGACAAAAAGTGTGAATACACAGACACACAGCCTCTTGCCAATATTTATTTGCATATATGCGAAAACGCATAAAAAGTGGCACAAATATAAGACGTTTGCATTTTTGCCGTGTTTGCACCCTGTTATTTTCGCACAGCTGTGGGCTTCTGCCATTCTCAGTACACCGGCTTTTTGAACTGGTTCCGAGTAGGCAACTTGTGATTTAACTATCTTACGTCAGGAAATTTAAGCGGATTTTG